CGTACAGCTTGTGCAGAGTCACGTGATTATGTAGTTGGGCCCCTTGCTCTTTTGTGTGGGTTCACAAGTGTTCTGATGTCGACTGAATGGTGTGTATGCAGTTCAAATTTTTGCAAGAACAGCAGTGCACAGTGGCTTGCCGGAAAACGCTCACCAAAGATGAAGTGAAGAACTTCCGTGCAAAAATCGACGACGAGTACAGGGTCAATATGTGAGTCTTGTGTCCACATTTTCTGGACCCAGTAGTTTTGCAGTGGTCATCGCTGAGGACCAGGGGTTTGAGTGTGCAAAAGGGAACTGGGGGTTATTTGAGCATTCTTCAGGGCAAAATGTGTGTGGCAAGCTTTTGGCCTGCTTCAAATGACGCTTGACAAGGTGTTCGCGTATTTCAATCCTTTGGTCTGTGTGGTGAAAGTGACCTTGCATTTCTCTAACACTTCCCAGAAGATGATGCGCACAACCCCTCGCACAAAATCGGCTGCACAATGTTTTGACAGCATGTTTGCCAACGGATTTGGGTTATTTTTGCAGGATCTTTGACAACTTGCCTGTAGGTATCCTGAGAGAAGTGAAGAATCTTGATGCAAATGGAGACATTGCTCATGTGTACGACAGAGGCTTCCCTGTGGGGTACCACGAGAAAGTGAGGATGGTGCCTCTTGCACTGTTGTGTTTGCACGTGGGAAATTTACTTTATCCTGCGATGTTGCAGACTGCGGCTGAATCTTGCAAACCCCCCATACAGATGAAGAGAATGTCTTTTAGCCTGCCATCATATGCATGATGCTGGAGGAATTTTTGCAGGGTGTGCTGCACTCGGTGATGGCCAAGCATAAATGCAGTTTCTCCTGGATAAATGGCAGTTTGCCTAGACTGTGTGAATGGGGCATGAGGTGCTTGTGGCTGGTAGTGTTTCCCAATGAGGGCTGGGTATAAATTCATGATGTATGGCAGAGTAGATACTCTTGTCATCATAAAAACAGTTGGTTTGAGAATATAGACAGTTGGGCTGTTGACAGGACAGATGCACACCAGTTTTACCCTGTGAAAGTTTTAGTGCTTCTCAGCAGGAAGTCAAGCCTGTGCACAGCAGACATTGAAGCTTTGCCATGTTTGCTGCCTGTCTTGAGTGGTTGAAACTGCCAGGGAGCCTTCCCTCTGCCGTTGCGAAACTTGTTCAGATATTTCTGTGTCCTGCCTCGTGGCTCCCACCTGAGAGAAAAATCTGACATGAATGTTTCCTTGTAACAGGGTCGATACATCCTCTTCAACCATCTTCGTTTCACTGTGCACCACCACTTTGACCCTAAGAGGCTGACATCTCGTGTGGTTGGGTTCGAGGTGACACCAATTTCGGTGCACCACAAAGCGGAGGATGACACAAAGACGCCGCCTCTTCGCACATGCAGGCCCCAGGACAATGTACTAACATTTGAAACTGAAAGGCAGGATGTTGTGGAGAAGGAGGTCATCTTCACATATGACGTTTTATTCAAGGTACTGTACAAAATTCTGAGCCAGGATGTGTGCTGTTGCTACTTGTAGTTCCATAAGTTACATCGCTGATGGACATGCACTAATCCGATTCTGCTCCCAGCAGCCCAAACTGAAGATCGCTGTCGTATGCCACCTTTTGGCCATACGGATAAGAAATGGGTGGGAGCCGCTTCATGCAAATAGATTCCATGGTTGCAGGTGGCTAAAACTTGGGAGCCATCCGAAAGTAGCAACCGTGTATGATGCTGCATTAACGGACTACAACTATATTAGAGACTGAAATACTTGTGCCAAAAGCCAACAAAGACAACCAAGAATGTCAATGATTACATTCCCAGCCCTGTTACAAGGTGAACATCTCCCTCAATGCAAGTCAAAGGGTGTTGTGTTTGGATTTTCCGGTTGCAAGCAGGTGCACTGCAGAGGACACCCCATCAAATGGTGATCCTATCCCACCTTGCAACACAGATCAACAACCCAGAAAGAAAGTGGAATGCAGCACAGAACTGTCAGTGTGTTGTGCTGTGTTGCATTGCCCCGAAGAGACCATAAGTTGGAGCCCTGCTTCAATAATTCGACAAATGGGATCATGACTGCTGTTGAAAACCATATATGCAGTGCTCATATTTCGAAGAAAGCTGGGTGGATGAAATTCTGATCTGATTTAGATGGGTGTTGATGTTGTGTTGCAGGACAGTGAGGTGCGATGGGCATCAAGATGGGACTCCTACCTTGCCTTTCGTAGGAACGACCAGATCCACTGGTTTTCAATCATAAACTCACTTATGATTGTTATATTCCTCTCTGGAATGGTGGCAATGATCATGTTGAGAACTCTGCATCGGGACATCGCCAAATACAATCAGCTGGAAACCGTGGAAGAGGCCCAAGAAGAATCTGGTTGGAAACTGGTGGGTTGGCCCTGGTTACTGCATCGTGAAGGGTGGGTCTGCTTGTGTAGAGTTCATTGCACAATGCTGCATGTAGCCAATGAACATTTACAATCAAGTGGTGTGCTTGTTATGAACCATTTGTCGTTGAACAACAGTGTGGACCTGAGTGAGGAGCCTGGACGACAAAGCCCAGTCCAGCATGAGGAAGCCAAGTCTTCCATGGCAGATTTCCATTGGTCAAATGCTGTGTCAGTTGCTTCATCCACAGTACTGTATGCTGCAAAGTGTGGTTAAATGGTCCACATGACCATTCCATCAAAAGAGTTTGTGTTTCAGGGTTGCACATGTCACCTGTGCACCGTGTTGTGAGGATCTTGTCCTCAAGCAGGGTTCAGTCTGTGGAGCCTACTCACGTTTTTTTCGCGTTGACATATTTGTGCAATTACTCCGATCACAATGTCTTGCTTGTTTGCTCCCTGCTCTGTGCCAAGGCTTGCTTGTGTGGCTCATCCTGTATCTGACCATTGTGATGCATGCAGGTCCATGGAGATGTGTTCCGGCCCCCAGGCAACTCTTCATGGCTAGCTGTGCATGTCGGTGTAGGCGTTCAACTGTTTGGCAGCTTGATCGTGGCCATCTTCTTTGCACTGCTGGGATTTCTCTCTCCTGCCAATCGGGGATCCCTCATGACAGCAATTCTTGTGCTCTTTGTCTTCATGGGCTTCTTTGCTGGGTTTTACTCCTCCCGATTGTACAAGACATTCAAGGGCAGCCAGTGGAAGACAACCACAATCCGAACAGCATTCTTCTTCCCAGGTACATACTGCAAATTCCCAACCTGACGGTAGTGGTGCTTCTTTGAATACTTTTGCAAATTGCAGCGGAGCACTGCATTGGCACTTGCGATGCAATTATGGAGATTGTTGATTCTCTCCCCTGCTGCAGATATTTGCTAAGCACTTTGAGACTGCGCGTGGGTGGGAAATTGTTGGCATGATTCCATGCATGGCAAGGCTGCTCTTGGTTTTGAATGTTGACACAAACCAGCACTGGGTGCTGGTGGTGTTTTCCGCACTGGTATTGAAAGTGTGCAGTGCGGATAAGGTCCAAGGGTAGGTCCCTTGCCACATCCATCGCCTGTAAGCATCGTAAGTTTGTTGTCATGCTGTGGATGGCCATCTGGACAGCTTCTGGACACACAGGCAGGGACTGTACACAGCAGGGATGTTACCCTGCTGCTGTTGCTGTGTGTTAGTTGCCCAACTGTGGCTTGTGCTACTGCTGTTCGCTAAAGGCCTTGTGCCAGGATGTCGATCAGCACCCGCTTGCACTGTGTAGAGTCTCTAACACCCCACTGCAGTCGCCAAAGGCTGCAGGCGAATTCTTGCATGTGCCGCAGTAACAACATAGATAGTAACTCGAACAGACAAGTTGCTGGTGCCTCTTGGTGGGTGTTGCACCTGAGGAGGCTGAGCCAGGCTTGTGTGCCTGTGAGCAGGGCTGTGCTTTGCCATCTTCTTCGTTCTGAACCTTCTGATTTGGGGCCAGAAGTCGTCAGGAGCAGTTCCTTTCGGGACTCTATTTGCTCTCTGTTGCCTATGGTTTGGCATCTCTGCCCCTCTCGTCTTCATAGGCTCATACCTCGGATTCAAAAAGACACCCCAGGATGACCCAGTCCGAACCAACAAGATCCCCAGGCAGATACCAGAACAGCCCTTGTACATGCACCCTGTGCTATCGTGCCTGATTGGTGGACTACTGCCCTTTGGAGCAGTCTTCATCGAGCTGTTTTTCATTCTCACGTCCATCTGGCTGCACCAATTCTACTACATCTTCGGCTTCCTGACCCTGGTGTTCATCATCTTGATCTTCACCTGTGCCGAGATCACGATTGTGCTGTGCTACTTTCAGCTGTGTAGTGAGGACTACCACTGGTGGTGGCGGTCGTTCTTCACAGCAGGCTCCTCCGCCCTGTACCTGTTCCTTTACTCAGCGTATTACTTCTACACCAAACTGGACATCTCTAAGACGGTGTCTGCGATGTTGTACTTTGGGTACATGGGCATCTTGTCATATGGGTTCTTCTGTGTGACTGGAACGATCGGTTTCTACGCCTGCCACTGGTTTGTGCACAAAATCTATGGTGCAGTGAAGTTCGACTGAGGGCAGGTCATCGGGGATGTGATCAGTAGAGTTGGTGCTAAGGCAAGGCCCAAGCGGTGCGATGGCTGCTAATTGCAGCAAGCCATGCAGGCGAAATGGAGAAAGTAAACATGAGCATCGGAGCTTGCAGGCAGCTTCACCAGACCAAGAGTGGTTGTGGGGCACCTGGTCTTCCTTGTCGCAGCGAAATGAAATGGACAGAGGGGCTGGTGCCATGTTCTTCAATCCAAACCAGGTCGCTGATCATCGTTCGCGATTGCTGCGAGGAGCAGCGACAGAACAATGGCCTTTGCGTTTTGTGCTGCTATATGTAGTGTAGTTGGGTTCCGCTGAGATCACAGTGACTGCTGTTGGCTGACTGATGCTGAGCATACGCAGAGGGACGAGCAGTGTTGCTGCGCGGGCATCGACAACTGCATCCATGTTGCATTCGAAGTGCGGTGCCAGGCAGCTTCATGACACATGCTGGGTTTCTCATCAGTGGCCTTTTCTTAACCCGCCCTGGTGAGTCCAAAACCAACCAGTGCATCATCACTTGTGATGGGACCATCCCGTGTGCACACACCACAGGATGACGTGCCATGGACTTCTCTGCAGACGTTAATGGTTTGCTGTGCCAACCAAGTGCCCCAACGCTCTGCTGCAGCATGGCAGTACACCAGCCCCTTTCATTTGCACACCTTGGCAGTGTGCAAGACCAAACCTTGAATGCTGTAATGCAGTCCATGTGCCATGCTAACGACGTTGTCAGCTCTCCGGGGATGCGGATCCACCCAGAAATATTCAGATCAGAGAACCGTAGATCACGGAGGATTGCACCCCACCCCCCACCCCCCCGCGTTCCACATCAGGACTGACGTCAGGAATGGGGGGGCGCTATCTTGCTTCCCCCCGCGCTACCTTCCGTGCCCCCAGCGTTCCACATCATGTTGCTGAATCAGCAGCGCCCCCCCGCGCTATCACGCTTGCAGGCGTACCAGCAGCCAAGCGCACCGGCGCCCCACCAAATTAGCGCATTTCACAAGGCGCCAATCACAGCGCCAACCAATAACAGCTATTGGGATATCGCCCTGCACTAGAGACAGCCTGGAGATCCTGATGACCTTCGTTTGGGTGAATGATGGTAGTACGAAGCTGGACACTGAGAATATTGAGGACATGGTGTTTGATTGAAGGAGGAATATCATGGCAATGTTTAGTTGGAGTGTGGACTTGATAACATTGGGGCGACAGCACATGCAGTGAGGTTTAAGAATGTGAGAAAATGCTTTGCATTGTGGTTCTACGTGATGATGTAGTGTATAGTGCCCCCCCGCGCTATCATGCATACCCCAAGCGCTCCGCAACACCAGTCATGTTTGATAACGCCGGGGGCGATATCTAAAGGCCCCCGCACTATTCCACACCCCCCGCCCTATCCTCCGTGATCTATGGTACATTTCACACCCTCTTGAATCCGCTGCCAATGGTGACGGCTGGTGTGACACGAGCATGAGGCTGCAGATCGTGCGCGCATGGATGGCCCCTTGAGGACTGTGGGCCAGCAATTTCTGTTCCATGCAGCAATCGCTCTGAAGTAAATTCTGGCGCCCACAATTAGTGAATCTCATATCAGAGTTATTGTCAATCACTGTGTCGATCATTCTGTCAATCACAAATTCGACTCCTTGCCCCCACACGCCCTTGCCCACATTGGATGGGTGTGGACAAGGGTGTGGGGGGGCAAGGAGTCGAATTTCCTTCCACACACCTTCCAATGGGATGGAGATCCACCGCATTTGCGCCCTGCAGGCGACGGCGGGCACAACAGATTGCGAGCCGTCGTCGGTGAGGAGGCTACCAATCCTCTGGGCCCCGCACATCTCCGCAGCGTCATCCCAGGAGCAACTCCCCATTCCCCGATTAAACGATCAAACGAGATTCCCTATCTGTGCGCCAATGACGGAGGAAGCATTAGTCCTGGCGCAGCGACGCTCCCCCTCCGCTCCACAGAGCGCACGAGTCGTGTGACGCATCTGCGCGGCACCTTCCATGGGACGCGGCCTGGAGGCCCCCGTGTGCTGACTGCGCACATTCCCACCACAACCAGGTGGAAGCAGCGTGAAGTGCCATGTACAGGTACGCGTGACGTCCCTCACACCGCGCCGTCCCCACACCAGGCGCGGCAAAAGCGGCGGAGGCGGTGTCAGACGGCCAGCCGACTCGGGCCCAATGGCGCGGCCGTTCCCGATCGTCCTCCTCCACGGCTTCACGGGCTGGGGGCGCGACGAGCTGGCCGGATTCAAGTACTGGGGCGGGCTAAGCGACCTGGAGGCGTCCCTGCGGGCCGCCGGGCACGACGCCCACACCGTCGCCGTGGGGCCCGTGTCTTCCAACTGGGACCGCGCATGTGAGGCGTACGCGTACATCAAAGGGGGCAGGGTGGACTACGGAAAGGCGCACGCGGAGAGGTTCGGGCACGCGCGCTACGGGCGCAAGCACGAGGGACTGTACCCCGAGTGGGGAACGGCGAAGGGAGGAGGAGTGCGGAAGATCCACCTGGTCGCGCACAGCCTGGGGGGCCAGACGGCGAAGGTACTGGTGCACCTGCTGAGCCAGGGGGCGCGCGAAGAGGTGGAGGCGGACGGGGACGGCGCCTCGCCGCTGTTCCGGGGGGGACGCGACTGGGTGGCCAGTGTGACCACGCTGGCCACGCCGCACAACGGCACCACCCTGGCGACACGCGTCACGGATTTCCTGCCCTTCGCGCAGCAGCTGGTGCTGGGCCTGGTGGCCCTCGCGGGCGCCGACAGCGCGCAGCCGCTGCTGTACGACTTCAAGCTGGACCAGTTCGGCCTGAAGCGCCGCACCCTGGAGAGCTTCGACGACTACGTGCAGCGCGTGGTGGACAGCGAGGTGTGGGAGACCAGGGACACGGCGGCTTGGGACCTGAGTCCGGAGGGCGCGCGGGAGCTGAACGAGCGGTTCCGGGGGGCGCAGGATAACGTGTACTATTTCACGTGGAGCGCGCTGGCCACGTTTCGAGGGTTCTTGTCCGGTCAGCACTACCCTCGGAAGGACATCTTTCCGCTGTTTCGCCCCTTCGCGAGCGCCATGGGCAAGTTCGTGCGGCGGGAGGCGGGGCCTGGGGAGGTGGCGGTGGACAGGACGTGGTGGCCCAACGACGGCGTGGTGAACACGGTGTCCATGGCGGGGCCCGACACGGACGAGGTGGTGAAGGCGGGCGGGGAGGACAGGAAGGGCGTGTGGACGTCGATGGGCGTCAAGGACGGGTGGGACCACATTGACATCATAGGCATCGGCGACGTCGGCAAGGGCGGCCCCTTCCTGCTGGAGTGGGCAGACAAGCTGAAGGGGCTGCCGGAGTGAACAGCGGGCAATTGCGCAAGTACCGGGGACCGCGGATTATGTACTGCTCAGTCAACGCCATGTAATTCGGGGATGTTTCGCATTGCACCGCCGTTGCGAATCCTTCCGCTGCCGGTGCCGCACCTCACAGGCCCCCTTGCTTCGGCGTTTGCCGCGGCCCGGCAGCATTTGCGCGCCACCACCTCCCCAGGGGTAGTCGACCGGTCCCGCTTGACGTGGGTGCCGCAGCTGCACAACGACGCCGAAAAAGGGATCCCTCGCAGCGACTCCGCGGTGACGCTCACGCCCGCCGCCGCGCCCCCCCCCCACCCCACCCGCGTTTATGTCCTCGACAGCCGAGCTCGTGCGCCTCCAGGACTCCGTTCGGCATCTCCTGCAGGACGTCTGGGAGTTCGCGGGCGGCCTGGGGGCCGGCAGGGCGGACCACGGCGCCAGCGCATGGCTGGTGGACGGGCAGTGGAGGCATTTTAGGGATGAATGCGCGCGGCTGGCCGAGCGGAGCGACAGGGGGGGCTTGTCGGTGGCCGTGGTGGGGACGCCCAAGTCGGGTGAGGCGGGTTGAGCGGGGAGGTCGGGGCTGGGGCCGTCTAATGCGGGCTGGACGGCGATCCGGAGGTGTTGGCTCGCGGTATGCAATGTTTTTGGGTGCTGGAAACCGCCCAGTCGTCGCCGGGCCTCCAAGCGGGTTTCTCAGCCTTTGTCCCGTCCATATACCTTCCTGCACCAGACTGGAAAGCGGTCGTTGAAATCCGTGTCGGCAACGAACCCTTGACGGCCCCTTGGTTCCCTTGACCGGTTTCCTTGCCGCCGGGGTGTATGGTGGTCTCGTGTGCTCCTTGCGTCTCTGCAAACAATTTCTCGTTGTTTTGTGTTGGCGCGCGATGCGTCCAAACGGATGTGGTCACCCCTCCGTTTAGACCCCGAAGTCCACGGCGCCTCCGCCTCGAAAGTCCTGCTGGTGGCTCTCCAGTTCAATGTTCACCAGCAGCGGACGGCGGGACCCGATTTGTTGATAAGGGGTTGCTTTGGGGAGGTGTCCGAGGACAGCCAATCATGCGATTCCTCAATGAGAACAGCTGTGCAGCTGTGCCGCCCAGTCACAGTGACGGTGCCCAATGGCTGCCAGGGGATGCGCTGGAAGTACGAAATCTAAGCAACAAAAATGGTGTTGGAATAAATTCGGATTCAAATTTTGAACTACTGATTGTATGGAAGTGCATGACATGATATTGATATGAAGAAACCATAATGAGACAGTCAAGCAAGGAAATGAGGACTGCAACATTGTCTGGAGGCGACAGCAGTGGTGTCCTTCACCAGCCTGCGCAGAACACAACAGCGCGGTCCACCATTGGGGCAGCCAGTGAGCACACAGCCACTCAGCTGCCAAAATTTTTGAAGATTCGTGTCCTTGTCTCCAGGGAAGACCACCTTTGTGAATGCTCTTCTGGGGTCTTCCTGTCTTCCCACAAACGGTGTACTGGAGGCGCCTGGCTTCTGCATCGTCCACCACATCCTGCGTCCTGCGACCAACGGCTGTGACAACAACAAATTCAAGCTGTTAGAATCTTCTGGTTTAACATCAGTAGGCTCTCAAGCTGTTCGACAGCGCCTTCAGGTGACCTGATGCAAAGTTTTGTCCGTAGAGATATGTTAATGGGCATTGAAGCCCAGTAAGCTGTCATTATGTCCAGGCTGTTTGTTAAGAAGTAACTGCTTGCACAACGGGCACATTCTGCCACAGACGTCAAGAAGGAAAACTAGGGTGGTAAATGGGCATTCTGTGGTGACTAAGCTTGTGTGCTGGCAACTTGCCCAGTTTCCAAAGATTGTCAAGCCGCCGGCCTCCGTCAAATCGCCTACTGGTCTCCAATGCAGCTGCCCAGCAGAGGCCAGTACTGTTTTTACCCCTATTGAGTCTTTGTCCCTGCTTACTGGCACTTGTGCAGGAGCTGCTGGAGAAACGAAGACATTGTGAGAATGTTTGGAATATGGAACGACCACTCGAAATTTATGCACCTCTGCAATGTCTAGCCAAGGATGAAGCACTGGTGCAGCTGTCGCTGATTGACATGCCCAGCTTGCAAGAAACCAAGACTAAGTTTCCTATCCTCAAGGTAAGATAGGTGACTGCCATGTTCTTCTATATATATATGCATTGTGCTTTACGTTATGTGGGGGAGCTCCTTGCTTAGATCATCATGTAATACATTGGAATTCAAAGAAAAAGCTTGTGAGCTCCGCTGCACGTTTAGTAAACGCATTTGTTTGGGTGTACTTGCAATACCTGCTGTATGTTTATGAATGTCTATATGCTTTACCCACTGTCCACAGATGCTCCATGTAGTTGTGTCATGTATCCATGCTTTAATTCCCTGGAATATGTATGATGTAACCAGGCATCTTCACACATGTTAAAGCGCTCGATTTCTTCAACACGTTTTGGTTGGTGTACCCTCCTTTCCTGAAGATCAGCTTTAAGTTTTGGCTTGATATTCTTAATGCACATGCCTCTGTGCTCTGTTGGTCACAGGTCGAAAAATGTCTTCAGGACGTTGATGCTGTTGTCTATGTGTTGAACTACACAAAGCTCAAGTCTCCTGAGGAGGCGCACTTGCTGCAGGCGATCAGAAAGATAAATCCTTCTCTGATGAAACGAGCGTGGCAACGCATGTTCTTTGCTGTCAACAAAATTGATGCAGTGACCATGGGGGAGGGGCTCAGTGAGACACAGACCAGGCACCATGTGAAGACTCTTTTGTGGGAAGCTGGGGTCAGGGTACAACCAGAGCAGGTGCTGTAGTGACATCTTCCTCTGCACATGATCGCATTTCCACTTGTTCAACAATGCTTTTGATCCACATCTCTTGTCAAAGCCTCTGGTTGAAGTGAATGAGCTGCTGTTTGTATTTGGTGCAATAATAGTCAAATTGGAACAGTGTTAGCAAATGTAGTGAACATTGGGTGTCAAGCAGTCGGCAATACTTGTGGCATGCACACACACATGCAGGCCCTGGAAGATAAAGCCTGTCTACGTGCCTTTTCTTACACGTATGAGTTGTTCATGTTTGAAAGTTGCACAGCTGCATAGCTTAACATAGGACTGCAAGTCTATGTTGAGGCGGCGCACCGAACTTCCTTGGAGGCGAATGTATTGCTCACACATAGAGCCGCAAAGCTCGTGTTTTAATCGTTTAGTTGAGCACCTGCAGACAATGCTAGCCTTTAATGTGTCCCAGTTTGCCTTGCAATGACCAGTTGTACTGTGCTAACCGCTCAACAGATCTTGCTGATATCTGCAAACAATGCGCTTCTCTCCCGGCTGGTGTTGGACACCAACGCTAACCAAGAGATGCGAACCAAATTCGGGCACCTCGTCTTTGGGCCACAGTATGGCATAAAGATCGCCCAGGATGAATGGCGTACATGTGCTGAACGCATGTTGGAGGACAGTGGCATTCAGCAGGTCGAAGAGCAAGTTTTTGGTTTCCTGCACTCCCACTCCAGTTTGGTGAGCCTGTTGTCGCTCTTGGACGATGTGACGAGACTGTTGCAGGTATGCTGCACAATACCATGTTGTCAAATCACAATATTACAAGCAATTTATGCTGCAGAACATGAAAGTCTCGTTTGGCAAACAGGGTGAATTATCTGTGCCTGACATGTGCGATGTTGTGTACTTGGTTGGGATCGGTGTGGAAACATGCGTGCCTGGTCCCTGCACATGGAATGTAAGCATGCTCATGGTGAAGATATGAAAATGCAATATAACAACGATGGAGGTGGTTGACGCAGTGTGGTAGTAGTGGTGGTTAGGTGGAAGGGGAACTCGTGCTGTGGAGAGTAGGTGCAAAGTGGAAATCGATAGGCATGCTGTGGAAGTAATAGAACGACACAGATCATCTTTGCCATATGTGTGAGCGATCCATGTGCTGTCATCATGAGGCTGGCTTGGAGGATCAAGTTGTGGCCTTATTGGCCAGGGTGCTGTGGATCAGCGTTGTTGACATAATTGTTCTCAACTCTACCCACGTTTCAAGAGCTTGATGGAATTTCTTTTGGGGTCAGATTTTCCCTATTTTCTTCAGCAGCACAGAATTGGACTCAGAACCTGTGGATTGATGATCCCACTCCATAAAAATGATCGCGCAACAGATGTTTGTGGCAGAAGCATCGTATAGTTCATCAGAAGCACAACTTGGACTTGTGTGACTTGTGGACTGCAAAAGTGTTGTGTTTTTGCTGGTGAATGCCATCAACAGGAAGTTGGGAATGTGGTAGCATCGTACAAAGCATCCTTGTCGTGCACCCTTGACGACCTCACAATGTACATGGAGAGGCTGAAGGCACAGCTAGACACCACGATAATGGAGTTTGATGCTGCCAAAATTGGACTGCAAAAGATCGAGGATGATGTCACTTCAATGGTGAGCAACAGCGCACTAACTGAGTAACCACAGAACTTTTGCCATCGGCTTGCGCATTGAAATCCTAATGTATTTTTGTTAGTTTTGATTGTGCTGAGTCTCCTGCGGCCATGAACAGTATCGCATAGGGAGCAGCCCTGCTTGAAAGGTGCCCTTTGTCGTGCCTGACACTGATTGATGGCTGCCTGATGCTCCTCAGGTTCAGCAATCCCTTCAGAAGTTGAAGAGAGACCTGTTGCAGGGGATTCGTCATGCATTTTCTGACAGTGATGAGCGTCCCATCCCAGACCCTGGCTGGCGTGTTGTCCATGAGACTTTTGTTGACCTGATGGCAAGACAGGAAGTCGAGCGCACTTGTTGCGAAGACCTGCTCAAGGATCTGCATGAAGGTGTGACTGCCCAGGTGAGGGCAAAGGGAGGCATACGCAGCCTCTCTCACGCTTGGACGGGAATCTGACAGAGCTTGTGCAAGAGGGGCACAACCAAGTTCATGACTTCTCATTTTTTATTGACACAGGTACTAAGTGCTGGCAGTCAGAGACTTTCAATGGGCAAATGACATCAGCTGATTGCCGGCTGTAGGGCATGACAAAAGCGCGTCCCTATGTTGACGGCAAAGGACAAGAGTATGTAGCTGCTGTATGTTTGTGTATCTGCTGGTGTGGAAGACTGTCTTGATTACATGTCCGCAAATGGTAAAGGACAGTGCATGACTTTCCCATTCTTTTCTTTTGACAATCTTTCCAGATCCAGGCAGAAATCGACATCTCGTGGTCCATGGTGTCCGAGTTAGCGCGAGAGCGGCACCAGGAGCTGCTGCTACACACCAACGAGCTCCTCGATCGCCTGTCACATCGGATGGAGTCGCTCATGGGCAGGGAATTGGGCATCCATGTCAGCTGCCCAGACATGACCTTTGAGCCTCCCTCCACTGCAGAATTCCATACCAGATTGGACGAGCTGTTGCAACGGGGTGTGCAGGAGCACAACTTGCGGAGAAGTGTGCTGTATTGGTACATGGCAGGTGGAAGCTGCACTGTGTACGCCTTTGATGCCATTGCCATACGAACCCACTTTGAGACGCTTATTTGTGTAGCTGCAGAACAGTGTTTAAAGAATGTTCGGGGTCCGCTACAGGACCACATGTCCAGTCATATTCAAGGCGCCAAGGCCAGGCTGCAGGAACATGGCGACCACTACGTTCAGGCTGTGCAGAGCACTTTAGATGGGCATGCTGCCCACATCAGCAGCCATGCTGGGGTCAAACAGACAATTATGGACGATTTGAAGAGAGCAAAGCATTTGCATGGCAGGGCAGTGGAGATGCTGCGAAGGGTAGGCTGCCCAACGGGGCTTGGAATGTCACTTGCAGTTGGCATGGTACTGATCGTAAAGGACACTGTTGTCGCTCTCCATTACATTCTGAAATTCTATTGGTCTTGGGCAGTATCCGTTTCGTGTACCGTTTTCCTTCTTTGCTGTGCACATTGAATGTTTTGCATGGTGGTTTGGCTGGAACGTCTGTACAAGCTGCGGATTTTATTGCACATTTGTGCATGTTTTCAACTGTCTTGGGAGCAATCTCCATGGTGTGAGAGGTGCATGTTTTAACAATCCAGATGCCGTATTGTGGTGCTGTGCCTGGCACCATTGTTGAGGTTCATTGCCTGGTAAGCAGAAATGCAGCTACGATACCTTGGCCAATGATCGTCGGTACGTGCAGGTGGAAGCCTGGTTGCAGCCAACAAGCCCTATGAGTGGTAGACAGTCGACTGGATGCTATTCGGAACCTGATTGCTTTGTGGATGGGAGCGACGAGACCGAGAGTATGTCTGGGATGCTGGCCACCTCTAGCAAAATGCATAGGCGCACAGGCAGTGGTGGTATGCTCAGGTGAGGTTCGTCCATTGTGTTTTAAGCTTTTCGCACCAAATCTGCTGCATACTTGCATGGATGAGGTAGCATGGGCATATATCCACCATGCATCGAAAACCATGGCGATGCGTCTGGGAAAGACTGAATGTTGTGATGCAATTGAGTTTTTGCCCGGGCTCCTTGGCTCTGCACTGTCCATCTGACATGTAGGATTCTGTGCAGTGGTAGGCAGGTTCCCCAGCACAGACGATTCTCGCCACAGGAGGCTGTGGCGCAGATGTTTGCTGCCACCAGCCCAAGCCCACCCAATCCTCCACTGGACAGGTCAGAGTCTATGCCCACAGGCAATACGTCGGATGTGCTGTGGGACTCCAACATACAGGGTCTCAGTGCTCAAACAGGCGTTTGTACCATGGGTGGTAACGATAAAGAACGAAATGGCAGTAGGAATGGCGATGACTTTGGCGTCAGGAAAACTGAAGGGCAACCATCGAATTGGCGAGCAAGTCAAGGATCACAATTTCGGCCCAAGTCTGACTTTTTCCGCAGCTATGACAAAGCTCTGCATGGGGGACGAGCAGGTGTGCTGGAATCTGCCATCTAACCAGTCTCATCAATAGTAACGATTCATGCTGCTTTCTGCTTGACAGTGTATATTGCTGAAGCATATACATGTGTATGTGCTATGCGTGGCTAATGGTGGCTGCTGTGTGATGCATGAAGATCACTTGCTGCTGTTGCGATGGTTTCTGCTGGTAACGTACTGTGGAGTTGCTTAATTCGGATTTGTCTGTGCAATGAAACAGTGGGCACAATCGATACGTGTGAACAATATATGTTGTATACTCTGAAAGCACAAGGCTGCCACAGTCCTGGATGGTTGTCATCTACTGTGCAACCCCATGGTTGCTCCACTCCCACACCCAGATTCTTGACAAAGAGGACAAGCAAAGAGAGCTCTTCGAGCTTGGATTTGGAGCACAAGTTGAGCGCCCATCCCTTCAGCGTAACTTCTTTATCAGGAGCAGTGAACGGGCAGCCAAGTTGCTTTTGCAAAGCGAGTCATAGACATGCAGTCAATATAGCACAGGTGGTTCCTGCTTCCCCTTTCACCTCCAACCTTTCACAAAAAGAGCTGTACAGTAATGTGCGTATCTCGTACACTCCGCTACAGGTAGAGTGCCTTGTGTCCCTGTCGCCATTGTTTGCAACGCCTGTGATTTGAGCATGCGTGCTGATTTTGTCCATTGTCACACTTGCGCATGCAGCTGCTGGGCGAAAACCTAACAGTGGGCACCGGAGAACAATTTCCTGGGCATAGTTCGCCTCCTGTACTTGTCCCCCCAGTACTTGTGCTGGTACTGGGGGTCGGGCGTGAGCATGCATGACCTTGGGAGCATCAGCCCCTGGAGAGGTGGGGCATGGGTTTGACGAACGCCAAACACAGCTGGCAAGGAATCGGGGTTCATCATCTGCAACCTTGGAAATATTCAGAGTTTCTAACACAGCAGATTTTGTGGTGGTACTGGGGATCGGGCGAGAGCGTACATGGCATTGGAAGCAACAGCCCCTGGAGAGGCGGGGCGTGGGTTTGACAACGCCAAACACAGCTGGCCAGGAGTCGGGGTTCATCATCTGCAACCTTGGTAATGCTCAGAGTTGTAACACAGCAGATGTTGTGGAGGATGTCATCAACTTGTTCAACGTTAGTGTTGGAAGCCCTGTCCTGTCTTCGAACAAGGAGCCATCCTGGCGGCTGCTTTTGTTCTTTAGGTCATTTTGGGAAGGGGGAAGCACATCGAGGCACTATGGCGGAGCAGTCGTGCAAGAATGAGAGTTGGTTGGATAGCTGCTCCCTTGCCTCCAGGCTCATGGTTGCCATTTCATCCCACTGCCATCACATTAAGAACAGAATCCGAATTCTCCCTACAGGACAGGCCACCCAATTGTGTACCTGCACATGGGTACCCATGCCATCGTAGCTACTGGAGGCGCTAAGGGATTTTCACGTTCGTCTTGCTGGGGGATGGCACTTTGTGGAGCAACTGGGGGTAGCAGAGTAGCAGCAGGTCTATTTTGCAAGACTAGTGCATGAAAGACAAGAATATAGATTTCAAGACTGGGGGAAAAGCTAGAGTTGCAATTTTCTAAGTTGTGTAATATCATTCCAGGAGAACAAATGTAGTCATTCTGGCCGCTGCCTTATGTTTCCTCAGCAGGCCATTGGGGCAACGCATGGCTCTCATATGTATTTTGGGTTCTGGCAGTCCGGGTTACTCCGGCATAGTTAGGCAGACAGTCAAGCCCCTGTTGTCTGTACTCTTGCAAGCATCTTAGTCAGCAGAGGCGCAGGACCTGTAAAGTACATTGTTTATAAGACTGTGTTGTAACCTCTTTGCTTCCTGGCTGTGCGCTACATGTCGACAAGTGCTGTCATGACAGCAGTACTGTGCATTTCCTGTTGGCTTCGATCGATGTGACAGCAGCAGCTGTTGTGTACAACAATGGTGCACACACAATGGTGCATTGTTCCCAAAGCACCAGGCTATGCAGTGGATCTGCACAGTAAAATTTTGCAACATTCTGCCATAGAGAAACTGCCTAAATGCTGCTGTTCCTTCCAATAAACTAGATCCAGACAACACATGCGTACCCATCTGTTTGCAGAGGGCTGCAGTGACGTGATTCTACTATCTGTCCACCTTTACGGATCACGCCCAAGATGCGGCTCGATAAAAATCACGGCAATGCCCAGGAATTTAGCTCAGAGGCAGGCAGAAGGTAATAAAAAACTTTTATGGGCACATACTCTCAGTCACTGCCGTCCAAGTTGCCCTGCTTCACATCGCCGCCACACAGCGGCAAGGATCTGGTTTTTCTGTTGATTCGATCCCAGGTTGTCCCTTGATCGCAACAACCCACAATCACACAACTGACCGCATTGCAAACGTTGACTATCACCACAGTTTCATCCACGTTCTTGCGCACAGCAGTTTGTCCGCGCACGAGCCCCCGGGGGGAGGGGGGCGATGCAGGGGCGCGGCCTCGGCTGATGAGTCAAGGAGCAAAACTACAGGGCAGTCCACAACATTCGGCTTGCTGGTGCTGGCAAACCTTGCAGCTGCTTCCCGTTCCACCCGAAACCTCATTCAAAATCTGTGCACAAGGTCTGCGCGCCACAGACAAGGCGCGTGGGGTGCAAAGGGGCCCTTCACCCCCACAATTTCCAGCACACAACTGAACGCTCCGGTCACCACCCAGCGCCCTTCTCTGGGCCATTCCCAGCCACGACCAGGCGCGGCACCCTGCCCTCCGGCGACTGGCCGATGGAGGCCGGCTTTCGCCCGAGGGTCGTCAAGTGCTTCCCAGCCAGCCGCAAGCCGAAGGAGCCGCATGTGTGCAGCTCGTGGGGGCCCTCGTGCATGTGACGGCGCCACGTGCTCCGCCTGGGCACCACTCACCACTCGGGGATCCAATCATGGCCCCTCCAGATTCGTACTTGCGCCCTCAGGCAGATTCCAAGGTTGGCCAATGTACGACACATCGTGACAAGGGGGTCACATTCGTGGGTCTCATTTGGTTATGGGCCGCGGGCGGCCAGCCCGCTGGCTGCTGGGGTGGGTTGGTGCCCTTGCGACCTGGGCGTGGTGTTAATAAACGATGGTGGAGAGCGCCGTCTGAACAGGGAGGGGGGAGATGAAACAGCACGGGAGACCAGCTGTAACGCATTAGTAATTGCCTTCGACAAGACAAAGTGGTGCCTTGCACCTTGCAGGTGATGACGGGCGTTGACACATCCAACGTTTTTTTACCATTATCCATTCAATTCATCTGCTCGCCGCCCGTGTGATCAGACACTGCCACCTGATTCATGTCCCGGGCCTGGTGAACTGGTTGATCCAAACTATACTGGGTGAGTGCTCCAAGCACCAACCAAGAGACTGGCGAAGTTCAAGTTACCAGCGGTTAAGTATCCGTTTGCATCGGCTTGTAGGTTGTGGCAATGGGCTTTGGGAAAGCCCTGCAAGAGGCCTGTATTGCCGTCTGAAAGTGGCCTGGCGGTCGCGCTCCCGCACAGGGCGCACACGCACGCACGGCGTCCAGCGCTGAGGCGCTGCGACCCACCAGCAAAATGCTGACATTGACACTCTCACAAGGAGTTTAAGAATGTGGCCGGCCACGGCACAAAGTTGCCTGTCAAGTGTGGTTGCTTGGATCCCACACAATGTTTAAACAGCACGGCTGTGGGGTACAGCCATTTCCCCACTTGATCGCGTCCCGACAGGCCACTGTGGAACCCATTTCAATACACTGCTCATCCCAGCCCCCAAGCAGTTCCACCTACTCTTGAAAAAAGAAACAGGAACAGGGGGAATGGTCCTCTCTCAGAATACAAGGCGTGTTATTATTGTAGCCCGAACGAGCTAACTTCCTAAACAAAGACCCATCCCGTTGAAAATTGCCCCGGCGCTCGGCCAGCGGCGAACAACCTGCCCCCCGACTACGCGATCCTCCGCAAAGACTCCTGCTACTTGAGAGTGAGTGAGAAGCTAACACGGCCCGCTACATGCCAACTCTCCCCCCGACTGGACCAGTGCTCTTGGTGCTGTGGCGCTATGTCACCACGTAGCTGACAAAGCAGCCCTACCGTCCCTCCCCCGACCGCCGCTACCTCGTCGCCCCGCGACCCGCGCCCCTTTCCCGACAGGGGGCGCACAGTCCTCGACGTCGCTCGCCAGGCGGCTGCGCGGGCGCCCAAAATGGACAGTGAATGCGCTACAGCAGTTCTTCAATTCAGGAACCCGAATGACCCGCACGCGCCAGCGTTCACCGCCGGCCAATGCACCCCAACCCACGCCCCCCTTGTGACGGCCGGCCTCAGGATGGCCCCGCCCCGGCCCCCCCCTCCGCCTCCTCCTCCCCCGCCTGCCCGAGCTCCCTGGCGATCCGCATCCCTTCTGCCAGCAGCCGCTCGCGCGCGCGCAGGTCCCCCACCGCCCCGTCGCGCGCCCGTATCTGCTCGTCCAGCGCCTCCTTCTTCAGCGCCGCGATCCGCTCCGCGTCCTCCCAGGAGCACTCCACGTGGAACCCCAGGCCCACGTTGACGTACACCATGTCCGCGTCCGGCGCCAGGGCCTGCATGTAGACGCCCGAGCCCAGCTCCACGCGCGTGCGCAGCTGCGCCGGCACGCCCCCCTCCCTCCTCGCGAGGATAGCGCGCTCCAGGTCCTCGAACTCCACCTTCGCGCGCTCCAGCCGCCCCTGCTGGTCCAGCGCCCGCGCCAGGTCCACCCTCAGGCGGTCGTCAAACGCCGCAACGGACTCTCCTGCCGCATCCCCCCCCTTGCGCTCACCATCCGCCCCCTCCGCCATGCCCGAGCCGGCCCGGGGAGAGGGATGCCCGTGAGCGGCGCTTGGCGCTCCCCGCGGCGGCCGGCGGGAGGGCGGCGGGCGTCCTGGACGGGCGGCTGGGGGGCCCAGGCGTGGGCGAGGGGGCCGCCGATGAATGTGCGCGGCCAGCCACGCGGGTGGCGCTCATTGTCAGTCGGCGGGCGCAACGGGCGCTCAAAACATACTACGCGTCCGCGACGGATCTGTGTCAAGGGGCGAGAGCCGGGGCGGGTGGGGCCTCACTGGCAGTACAAGCCCATTGGGCGCTGGTACGGCTTCCAAATGATTCACGCCGGCCTGACCTAAGTGGAAAGGCGCGTATACGAACCGGGGACCGCGCCTAGTCGGGCCAGCAGCAGGTGCCGGTTGGAGGCTCCTGAGCCTCAGCGGTGAGCCGAGGTTCCCACCAGAGAGACCCGCTGGCCGCGCCGACAGCGCCACAGGGTCGGATGCACTGCGCGGCAGGTCAGGGGCCCGACGCGCGGAGGTGCTGCGGGCGCGGAAACAACCTGGGGCTGGCATCCGAGGAATTCGATCAATCAGGCGGCGGTCAACGGCAATCAACCTGGGGGGTTGGGGGGTGGGGGGTTGACGGGGCTCTCGTGACGTCCGCTGGAATTGCGGAACAGCGTCGGGGGCGCTGCACTGCAGTCGCGGCAACGCCGCTGCCGTTGCGGCAGTGATTACGGGGCACCTTCAAGTTGAAGGCGTCAACTTGCAAAATAGGAGGCTGACGGCTGCCTCATTGCCTTGTTCTGATCAAATCGCCGCCGCCACACAAAGCTCATAAACCCTGAACCCAAAACCAAGCGCAAGCCCAGTGCTGGTCGCAGCGCTGGTCGCAAGCTGCCATTCGATGACTTATTGATACTGGGTTCACATATTTTGGTGCACCATTCAACATTTTTGGTACCAGAATCAAAATGCATCGGTACTAGTTTCAATTATATTTAGTACGTTGGCGGTTTGGTGCCAGATTGTTCGTGGCAGCCGTTCATTAAAGAGCGTCTTTTTCATTATACGGTTCTGGCCGCCAAAATCAAGGGGCAGCTGTGAATGAACACCCAAGAGCCAAGGTGTCACTGCCCGTACGAATGGACCACGTGCTAACTACATAACATTGAGTGTCCAAAACTACAGTTTGAGCACACAGAAATGTGTTTGATGCCTTCTCCCTTGGCAGGACACGGCCCGCCACTTTGTGTAGTGCGCAACTGCAGCCCATCAGCGCATTTTGTGCGCATTTTGACCAAAGCACCAGTTTGCAGCCGCGAATTGCACGTTTACACAGATTGCGCACACACACACACCACTGCACCACACAGCCAAATTACAAACCAGCCCCATTCTACACCTTCCTGACTTGGACACGTGCTGGAAGTTTCACTTTCGCGCTCACATCCTTGCACACTCCTTGGGTGGCTGCGACCACCCTCAAGGGAGCGCCACGTTGTTCTAGAGCGCGCCCTCGTGCTGTGGCCCCTCCAAGCTTCTCCTCTCCACTGGGCGACCCCTTCTCGGGGCGTCTCCGTGGCGGATGCCACCATCTCCGTGTCGATGGATTTTGATGGGCAGATCTCCGATGGCCAGCCATCGGCGTCTCGCCATGGTCGCGCGCCTTGTGGGCGTCCTTCACCGGTTTGGGCTGCACCTTGAGGGCCTTCGCGGCCTGCCTATCCCGTGCGTTTTGCCTTGGTTATGCGGCGGGCGCCTTCTCGGCGTCCTTTGGGCGTTTGTGGCCATCCCCGAGTCGGATTCGAGGGATGCCTTGAAGTGATCGTTAGGCAAACCGCCTAACGGACGCGCCGCGGAAACGGCGCCTTTGTGGGTGTCATGCCCGCCCTCTTGCCACTCTGAGCGGGGGTGCACGGCCTCCTCGGCCGCCACCCCCAGCTCGCTTTCTCAGCGGGCGTTTTGTGGTGTGGCCCTTTGCGGTGCTGCGGGGTTCATTTTTATGGCCAGACATCTGAAGTGTCGTATGGCCTAACGTGGTGCTCAACGCCCACAGCCACACGCACGCCTATCAATCACTAAACAGCAACATGTCCAAGCCCTCTCACATTACTCAAGCATTGCAAAAGCCACAAGACTAAACCCAGTAGAGTGATTAGGAACACGTTCCAAAAGGTGCCCACACAGATTAGGCAGCCTCTTCTAAAGAGAACCTCAACAACTGGCCTCCTTTTCAGGTTAATAAAATTGCATACTACTACAAGTACACAAAATGCGCCCTTGCACCCGCGCAACCCCTCACAGCACGTTGCCACTCCTCCCTAGTGTCCCATGCCACCAAGGGAAGGTGTGCATGACTCATGGGTTATAAAAACGCATTGGCAGCTGCGCAACCATAAACAGAAAGTGGTGTTACACACAACCACTTTAGAAACAAAACAACCCTTTCTAAGGGTCTGACAAAAGTAGTCAGCCCTCCCCATTCAGAATGCAATGGACGGGCTGTCGGTCCTTTCACAGGACCATGCACAATCCGGTGCACTTGTCTTGCCAAAACTACCATCACCCTCTCACGTTTCCCTTTTCTCCACTAGGCCAACTCTCATCAACTTTTCCCTCAATAACTAAACACTTTGTCCCAACTCGGTGTGGCTTGCACAGCCAACCATGGGTGAAGTGTAAAACACACAATCAGCACACAGGGTAAGGGGAGTCAACCTACTTCTGACTCTCACTCCCTCACCCTAATCGTGTGTTGAGCTTGTCATGGCCATCCTGGCGCATGACTTTTAGTGCATGCAGGATTTTTAGTGAGAGAGCTAAAAATAACCTTGCATAGCACAAGGACTGACACCGTGTTCGGTCTCTGAAATCCCACAGAGCCAGCACACCTGCCATGTCAGACCTGTGTGTGTAAGTGCATTTCAAGACCTCCGCTTGAACGTAACCTTACACATCACATGAAACCCCGTTTTTTCATGTGAATTACTGGACTATACGCCTTTCCTCGTCAGGTCAGGCAGCCCAGATGGTCTTTCTCAGACCAGGGATGTGCTAGCTAGGCTCACCCCAATTCACCCACTCAGCCTGGGCCCTTGAGGTCCAGGACCTCCCAGAATCGTCTCTGAATCCAGCCAGTCTGGGGAGCTGACTGGTGACACGGATCTGTTGAGAACACAGGGTGGCATCTTATATCCAGCCCTTGTCTCCCTAACCTTGCACCGCCCTCGTTCTCACTCCTAAGGTCTGCAGCTGTCCGCTCATAACCCATTTTCGGAGTGTTTCCTCTTTGTTTTCTTTTCCTTTTTTTATCAGCAATGGTGGCATACTCGGGCCATCCCATGCAGCGTGCACAGCGCATATGGTAGATACCCATCGTACGCCAATTACATAAGTGATCCACCCAGTGAAAACGGTGGTCATTATGTGGCGTCACGAACATGGGCACTCCCACGCTTCACACTGCGAGATACTCCGAAAGAAGCTGTTTTCCCTATGCAACTTTCACAGCTGCAGCTCCCATGCTTCATGCAACTTTCACAGCTGCAACTTTCACAGCTGCAACTTCCACAGCTGCAACTTCCACGGCTGCAACTTCCACGGCTGCAACTTCCACAGCTACAACTTCCACAACTGCAACTTCCACAGCTGCAACCTCTGCAGCTGCAACTTTCACAGTTACAAGTGCCATACACCATGCAGCTTCCACAGCGGCAGATTCCGCAGCTTTCACAGCTGCCCATTCAGCAAACATGGCCCCAACTCTCAGGCCACACCACAGCTCTCGCGGCTGGGCAAACTTCTGAAGATGCTTCTGTGATAGGCACTGAATGATGAAGCAACATCAATTCTTTGCATTGGAGCAAGATTGCATAGCCACCGTAAACTGGCCATCTCTACTGAAATGGCGTCTTTGAACAGCCACCAGCTGCAATTATTCATATAAACAATGCCCAGGTGCATGGCAGGGATATGTCCATGAAAATCATGACAGACGTCCTGACCCTCTTCTCTGCAGCTGCTTCCACATCCAGTGAAAATCAGTTTAGGCTTGATAAAACGTGTCAAAATTCCATAAGCTATAATAAAGCTCTTTACTCTCTCCCGGACTCCTTGAAATAGATGCAAACTTCAAACTGCGCCCAATGCCATAATGTATAACTCCGCCATGTGTCAATTCCCCTAACCGAGAAATGATCAAACATGGACTTACTGAGGCCACCTAAATAGGTGTTCTACACAGACAAAAATCTCATCAGTACTGAAGCAAGAACAACGCCAAAACATGGCGCACAACAAACTGCATCCCATTTCACGTTCAAATCAGCTGAGCCCCATCAGCGAATTGCCAGAATGCAAAAACATCACAAGCTGCTGAGTTCTCAACAACGGTTTTGAGGGAATAGGCAATCACCATACCTGCCACTTCACAGCCACCAGGGCATCACGCGGTGGGCCCATAAGTCCTCTTTCCATGAGAGGACCCCAAAGAAATTCAAAGTTCGGTGCTGCCATCACAGCCAAACATGCCGAACGTGTGGCACCGAACAGCCAAACACCCTTTCGCCTTCTGCTATGGTCCAGCCTCACGCTCAACCATCAAGAACGCATTCAGGCATTTAGGGCATCGCCTGTAGCTTTTGATGTCTTAGCACATCATAATTGCTACTCTTTCAGGATTCGAGGATCCAGCATCAAACTTACACACTTCTGCTAACACTGTCCTTGCAGCTCCCTTTCTCAGGGTCATTTTCCAAAGCATCATACCCTCTGAAATTGCATTGAGGTCTCTCGTCAGCAGTAGCCTCCACCCAGCATGTCTCAGCAGTGTGGTCTGTCTTGTGGCATTCTGTACAGTCCAGCCACTTTCAAATCACTGTGCTTGGACTCTTCGCAGTTTTCACAACACCCTTTTAATGAATTTGTCCAGCAGCATGAACAGATAGGTATCCTCTGCAACAGCAACCATTGGTGCAGCCGGGCTGCCCATCGCAGTAAAACGCACTGCACCCACCAGCCTCGGTGAAATA